AATCAAGTACTTGAGTAAAAGTACAGATCCGTATAATAAAATACTACTCCAGTTGATTTACTTTATTTGACTTTGTAAATTAGCCATGGAAATAAAATGCAATTACAAAAAATGTGAAAACATGGTCAATAACTGTATATCTGTAAAGTATCTGACCTTGTAGCATTTTTAAAAAGTCACCATGAAATCAAAATGGACAATTGTAGTATTTATTTATTGATCGATTGAATTTATTATAAATGATCAGTTTTTAACTTTTTATCTTCTCCCAAGGTCAGCACTGTTGCAGCTCTTTCCAGTCTTTTGGAGTGTCTAATGTTGCTTCATACAGACATATATCTGAACAACTGTGCTTTCACATTGCTTGGAAGGGTTGAAAAGAAACAATTTTAACATAGATCCTAAACATACTGGGCCTAATATCAATTTATTGACAGATGAATTTTATTGCAATACTGAAAGAAAAGATGCTACCACCACTCCGTGCCCTTCATCACGGGGCACTCTTTCAACACAATAATGGCCCAAAACACCTCCAGAGTGAATGCGTGAAGTGATTTTTGAAATGGCTCCTTTTCCTAAACGTCTTGCGATGCACAGACCATTGTTTGCAAATGACGTTTCAGGTCTCTTTTATACATAAAATGTTTTGGACACTGAGGGCAGGTATAAGGCTTCTCTCCAGTGTGAACTCTTATGTGAATCTTTAGGTTTCCTCTAAATGAGAAACTCCTTCCACACTGAGGGCAGACAAAAGGCTTCTCTCCCGTGTGAATCCTTACGTGAACCTCAAGGTTTGCATTGTTTTTGCAATCCTTTCCACAATGAAGGCACATGAAACGCTTCTGTCCGAAGTGAGTTATTACATGATTCTTAAGGTGACTGCTGTCTGTGAAACTCCTTCCACACTGATGACATTTAAAACTGCTCTTTCTTAAGTGAATCCTCGTGTGTTTATTAAGGTCATCTTTATATCTAAAACTCTTTCCACACTGATCACATGTGAACGGCTTCACTCCAGAGTGACTTCTCATGTGAGTCTTAAGACCTGCTTTTCGTGTGAAGCTCTTTCCACACAGATTACAGATGAAAGATTCCCCTCCAGTGTGAATCCGCATGTGGACTTTAAGGTTTCCTCTTTGAGTGAAACTTATTCCACACTGTTGGCAAGTGAAAGGCTTCTCTCCATCGTGAATTCTCATGTGGACTTTAAGGTTTCCTCTTTGAGTGAAACCTGTTCCACACTGTTGGCAGATTAAATGGCGTCTAGTTTTTGCTTTTTTAGCTCTTTTTTGTGAACAAGTCTTTTTTGTCTTTGAGCAACTAAAATATTTCCCCCCAATTGTGAAATCCTGGTCTTGCTCCTTCTTAATTGTCACTTCAATTTCCTTCAGTTCTTGACTCTCCTCTTTCAGCTGCATCAGGTCTAAAGCAAAACAAAAACCAATGCAAGTAAATTCTAGTTTCATGGCAGAAAGCAACAGACATCTAAGCAAACAAAAAAGCATTAAAGCATCCAAAAACAAGCAGCATCAAAACCAGCAACAAGTATACTAAACCAGGGGTTCCCAAACCAGGACCCACCTAAACAAGTACAATCTATCTAAAGACCCACCATACTATTTGGGTTTGGGGTTGGGTGGGCGTGAAACAGTCCAAAAGTACTGTAAACGTAATCTTAATCAAACGTTTGACAGAAATGAAGTATTTAATAAAAGTAATTTTATTTTATATTACAACTGTACCATTTCAATACAAACATTTACAGTTTTAATATCTTCATTTACAGGCATTGAAGAGAATATAAAATGAATCCATATAAACTTGAAACTCTCTCAAGTCTCGATATGAATTGTAATTCACATTGCAAGTGTAGTTAAACTCATTGTGGTGTTTAGCACTGAAAACGCTCTTGCGCTCCTTCCATATGTGAACATGTGTAATGCTTTACAGACATACAGTATTTTCCTTACGTGTTGGTAACTCTTACGACTATGTCTCTGGAAGACAACAGTGCTGAGTTGAACAGAGATATGAATAAATAGACATAAAACAGCCTTCCGTGACATTTGAATTACTCTGTATAATGCAGAATACAGCACAGTGATCGTAGTGAACGAGTTTCTTATTAATAATGCACACCAAATTCTCTGTTGCGGCCTTGCGGGATCGTGTGTTGGAGATTCATATTTTGTAAATAAAGTGGCAAATCATGTTTTTTTAGCAAACAATGCACTCTATATCGCTTCATAAAACTGAGGTTAAACCACTGGAGTCACAAGGAAAGATCTTCATCTGTGTTCTGAAGACCAATAACACTCTTAGATTCGGAACTACATGAGGGTGATTAATTAATGACAGAATTAATTAATTGATTTTTGGGTGTTTCCCATTTTGCATGCCTTATGCATCACTGCCCTACAAAGGCCAAAGACCTGAACTCGCTAGAGTGTAAAACTGAGAAAAATTACGTTAAGGATTTTTATTTGTCCAGACAAATTAATTATGGGTAGGAGACTGGAAATCTGGCAGTTAGACGTTTTAGTAATGAAAATTATCTACATAAAATTTTTTTTAGCTTAAACTTGATTTTTACTCCTATTTTGAAGTTAATTCATTATTGTTGCCAAGTTAACTAGTCTTTGTTGTTTACAGTGCTTTGTTATATGGAGCAGTTGGTTGCGATCAATCTAATTTATTTGTCTAAAAAATTGGCGACAGATGTAATAACACAAGCTACACTGTAATTTAAACCCAGCAGATTTTAATGGATAGTAAAACAAAGGCAGAATACCGTTTAACTCCAGGTCGGCACAGTAACTTCATACTGACGCATGGCTTAACAAAGGCAGAGTTCTGTAACTCAATTTGAGCGTTTCAAAACAAAGTGAAAGAGCGGTAACTTCTGTAATACAGTGTTCTGCCTTGGGTTCTCCTGGGCTTTTCGAAGTTACTGTTAAGACAACCCATTATTTTCTCAAAAAAAAAACAACGAAATTGACTCGAGATACTTATCCACATGATAAAGGAGATCTTGAATGTCTCAAAAATATCAATAACTCATTTTCGACCAAAAATGAAGTTACGGTCTTTTGCCTTTGCACGGCAGATCAGACGTTCAGCCAGCGGTCTGTGGCCATAACTTAAATGGTTAAGACTCGGGGTGTCCAAACCTCCTCCTGGAGGGCCAAAATCCTTTCAGAGTTTAGCACCAACATACCTTCCCGAAAGTTTCTAGTAATCCTGAAGAATTTGATTAGCAGATTCAGGTGGGTTTCACGAGTTTGCACTTATATACAGTGGGTATAGAAAATAATCACCCCCCCTTTAAAATAATCACATTTTGTTGCTTTGCAGCCTGAAATAAAGACGGACAGTTTTCGTTTTATCCAGCTGTATTCACTCAGTGCAACTTATAACATCCAAGTGAAAGATATCACCAACATGTCAGAAAAAAAAAATATATAAAAAAATACAAAACCAGAATCACTGAGTTTGGAAAAAGGATCAGCTGCTGTTAGAAGCTCCAGTTGCCATAGCATCCAGTAGGGGTTGAACGACTTCTGATTTTTTGAAGTCGACTTTTATGTGATGAAAGTCGAGTCGACTAGTCGCTGATGACGTCATTAATGAACAAATAAGTCTGGAACACCTTGTGCACAGCTATGGCATATGACACAGCGCTGCCCACATGGCTATTGCTCTTATAACAGCTTTTTTTATCAGTTATTTTGTCTTTGGGTCGTTTTCTCACAGATTTCTGCTCGTTCTAAATCAGACACAGATAAAGTAGCACAGTAAAGTTTACATTCATATGAAGCATTAGTGAGAGCGATTGCGTGGGTGAATTAATTCTACCTGGCAACGTCTCTCTACTAGTAGTGAAGCTGTGGAATTTAGTTATTAAAGGGGTCATATGATGTGATTTCAAGTTTTCCTTTCTCTTTGGAGTGTTACAAGCTGGTTGTGCATAGATAAGATCCCTGAAGTTGCAAAGACTAAAGTCTCAAAACCAAAGAGATATTCTGTATCAAAGTTAAGACTCTGCCACGCCCCCCTAAAATGGCTCGTTCTAACACGCCCCCACATATCTACTTCACTATGTGGAAATATTAGCATAATGCACCCAAATGTTCACGCAAAGAAAGAAGGCGTGGTTTCAGTAACTGCAGTTAGTGTTGAAGCAGCCATGTCAGGGAGACGCTGTGTGTTTCTCAGCAAAAGCAAAAGCACTTTATTTGACCTTCCGGAAGTAGATGCATTTAGGAATCTTTAAGATGCATTTTATGGACGACCGTTTCATGAACCTAGGAGAGGAGGTAATTCTGACTTTGCTATGACAATCTGGCGCTTCTGAATCAGCTACTGTTTTGTTATTAGTTTAAGTATTTGCTATTGACTGTTCAAATGCGTAGTTTTGCGCATCGTGTGTGTGTGTGTGCGTGCGTGAGAAAGAGAGAGACAGAGTCACATCAAAGTGGAGTCAGCTGTCTTAACTGTGGCTTATGTACTGCAAACACATACCAGCTTCATCACTGTGTCTGTCACACGACTCTGTTCCCCTTTCGGGCTCTGTCTTTACATTTATTTTTAAAGATGAAGCTCGCGATTA